GCGTTTCCTTAGGTGATGCACTGGGCTACCATAGACGATCACGAGGTGCCATGGTTCCTCGGTCCCTTCCCGCACCTGCAAAAGAACAAACTACGGATGAGTGTAGATCACATCAATAATTAGGGGGTTATTATAGAAAATCCAGATGCTCCCGCTAAATCCCACGGCCTCAACCCGAACCCACTCATCGAATCCAAGTTTGGAAGAGATGGTGTTCGCATGTGACCCCGACACCTTCGGCTCCACTAGTCCGACCAGGTTCGGTTTGTGTAATTTAATTAGGTGCTTTAAGACGCGGTGGAAATCCCTTCCTCCTGCGCCTTGACAATTCCAGATGAGGCTAATCATAAAACCTACAAAAAAAAAGAAAAAGAAAAAAAGGAATAAACCAGACAAAACGATAAAAGCAAATAACAAGCACACGGTTAACCCAAGGAGGCTAATCATCCGGTTAATCTCGTTGGTCGTCATCGGAGTAACAGTCATCTCCTTCCAGATCACCCAAGGTTAGATCGATATTTGCCACCGTGTTCCCAGCTACCGCATTTCTGAACGACAAAGGTGGCAGATCGCATCTTGGCCGTTCCTGCGGAGCCTCGCACTTGACCATCTCATCAAGTGGTGTCTCCGGCACCACCTCGATAGCCTTCTCAGCACTCGCTGCCAGTTCGCCGACGTCATGCTTGGACTTCTTCGTGCTCCATTCGAGAAGATCCTGATTTTCCGACGAGCGTTGGTTTGAAAGTTTTCCGAGAGCGTTTTCCATCATTCACACATTAAAAAAAGAAATGCGCTTCTTGACAACAAGGTTGCAAATGATTAAGTGTCCCGAACTTACGCATCTTATGCTTCGAACTTATGCACCTTTAGCTGGAAAATAATGCAATTTAAGCTTTAAACATACGCACCTTAAGAGTTAAACTGATCCACCTAAAACTAGAAAGTAACACGCACCTTAAGCTTTAAACATACGCACCTTAATTTATAAACTTACACACCTTAAGCTATAAACTTACGCACCTTAAACTTTAAACTTAAGCAACTTATGCTTTAAGCTTAGGCACCTAAAGCTATAAACTTACGCACTTTAAGTTTCGAACTTATGCACCTTAAGCTTTAAACATACGCATCTTAAGAGTTAAACTGATGCACCTTAAACTAGAAAGTGACGCACCATAAGCTTTAAACATACGCATCTTAAGCTATAAATTTATATACCTTAGACTATAATCTTACGCACCTTAAGTTTTAAACTTAAATACCTTAAACTTTAAACTTAGGCACCTAATACTATAAACTTACGCACCTTAAAAAGCAAGCAAGCTCGAAGCCTCTCATGTGAAGATTCATGGAATAATCATTTCCATGTCAATTTGGAGATTCCTTAGAGTTGCTAAGGGTGCACTATATATTAAGGTCAAATTTCATTCTCTATCCTTTAAATACCTAGTAAAAGACTAATACAAAGGTGTGCAATAATTTTGATGTGTAACATTAATTATTCTTTTTTTTTTTAATGTTATGGAAGAAATATAACGTCATGATATATTCTATTATATTACTAATACATTATGTTGCTATTAGTCACTCTGATCTATTTGTCAAGCGAACCAGCTTGCGCATACTTTGCCTAAGACCATTGATTATCAATCTGGACTACTTTCTTGGGAAGGTACGAACCCATAATTATACAGAGTATTTAACATTTGATTTCTTTACATTAATAATATACTTTGTAGTTTTGGTTTTAAAAAATAAAATATAGTACTAGATGAATTGTGATCTTTTTAATTGAGTAAATAATTATCATAACATATACTGATAGAACACATTCCAGCTAAAGGAGCATAAACTAGCTTAGCCTTCAAGGTTATTTTTGTCTTTTCCCCTTGTGGAAATTATAACTGTTTCTTTCCCATTGTAATAAGCAGTATATAAGCTTCCCCCTTGTGATTGAAAACACTGTTACATTCATTTTCATCTTTGATCCTTCTTCCATCCACAGCTCACTTAGTTCGTATCAATGTGATTGTAGCAAAAATAAGATGTGAGCTCGGGTGTGTAATGTCGTCCTCAGGGGATTGAGAGTTATGGCACGCAATATGCAATCACAAGAAACTAGGCACTAGTATAAAGAAATCAACAAGAAGCTAAGCAAATAATAACGAGATTGAGGCTACGGTAACTAAACAAAGTAACACAAACACATATAACAAGATGTAAACACGAAATAAAGAAATAGGACTCAAGCTAGGGAGCATTATCTTCTAGATACATAGCACAACCTAAGGATTGGGGAAAACAAGTAACCAAGGAAACAAGCGGGAATGCACGTAGGTATCCTAGTCTACGAACCATTCTCGTGATTAATAAACAAGGATTAGAACAAGGAATTGCCCCACTTTCGTGGTGAATCAATTCCAAGTCCATCAAGCACACAAAGCATTAAAGCCCCCAATTTCCCCTATTTTCTTAGGAAGAAATCGGGTCTATGCAAGGGGTGGCTTGGATTCATCACCCAACTCTCGTTGAGGCAAGGAATCCTCCAAAAACAAGCTAATGAATGTGTACATCAAACATTAACAAGATATAAATACAAAACCTTCACAAACACATGAACCCTAGGTTGGAGTTCTTCACCCTTTTTGCAATAATCACAAATCAAGCATCAAGATAGATAATACAACCCTAACTCAAGTCCATAAACTAACTACTCATGATTAAATAGCATAAAGAACACAAGAACACAAGCATGAAACATAAATCTTGCAAAATAAAGAGATAAAAGGAAGAAAAGCTTCTCTATTGAAAATGGATGGTGGAATCTTGAAATGTTGGAATCCAAGCTTCAAATCTAAGATTACAAGCTTCAAAAGTGTTAAGAAACATAAATCTAAGTCTATTCTAACCTAAAAATATGAAGGAGAATGAAAGAGAGTGTCTAGGGTTCTAACAAGAGTCAAAACCAAGTAGAAATGACCAAAATTCGTGCATATATAAAACAGAGCGCAGGTGACACGGCCAGGGACATGGCCGTGTCCAAAAACAGCAGTGAACACTGGAATTGCACAGAAAATACACGGCCATAGACACGGCCGTGTACTTGGCCGTGTCTTTTGGCCTTCAAAAAATCAGAATTTGGAACTATGATCTTCATCAAAGTTGTATCCCTTCAAGTCTTCTTCTATTGGCGCAAGAATCACTTCGTTTAGATATTCCTAGGCCGAGATATGGTCCAAAAACCAAACAGTGGTCAGTTTTGAATTGTATGTTTGGAACTTCAACTTCAATGATGATTTTGACCCCTGTGGATTCTTTTTTAGGCTTTGATGTCTGAATATGAGTTGTAGATCTTTGAGTCTTCTTTCCAATGGGACAAGAATCACATAATTTGGATATTTGTAGACCGAGATATGGTCCAAAAATAAAACAGTGGCCAATCCATGCGAGAATTTCAGCTTGTTGACACTTGTTCCACTTTTGCCTTTGGTTTAATTTGTCCATATGATCAACACCATTGAAAACATCACTCTTTGACTCCTTTAGAAGTGTTGCATCCATCTCCTTAGCTTCACCTTGACTCCCCTTGACTCCAAATGCATCCAACATGATCTAAAATCCTTCATTTCTACTCAAAGATAATGAATTGTGCATAATGGATCAAATGAGCAAAATAAAGATCATTTTGAACAACATTGTGACACTTCATAAGCAAAACAAAGTTAAATATGGGGTAGACACGGGGTATAAATATGAACAATTATGCACTTATCACAATGTTATTTTTGTTTCTCTCCATTGTTCAAACCCTAGTGTAGCTCTGGCTAGCTCATCATGGTATCAGAGCGCACCTACGTCGCAGCGGTGGTAGCAGATGCAGCTGGAAATAGTCAACCGACGATGCAAACCGGAAACACTTCGAATCAAACACCGGTGAACTAGTATCAACGGAATGAGGAAGTTGATGATCCCCTGTTCCTTCACATCACGGAGAATCCCAACCTGAGCCTTGTTTCCATGCCATTGACGGAGCTCAATTACGCCTCCTGGGGTAGAGCTATGCGAATCGCACTTGAAGTTAAGAACAATTACGGTTTTGCTAATGGAACCATACCAATTCCAGGAGAAGCCGATCCAAGGATTGCATCATGGAGAAGATGCAATCGTATCGTCTCCTCTTGGATCCTGAAGTCACTAAGCCCTAATATTGCGGATAGTGTGATGTACTATGAGAAAGCCTCAGACATTTGGAGTGCTCTTCAAAAAAGGTATTCTCAATCCGATCCCCATAGGATATCTGAAATTCAGAAAGAAATCTTCAAGTGTGTTCAAGGCAACTTAACAGTCAATGAGTTCTTCACCAAGAGCAGTGCTCTGTGGCAGCAGATGAATGCCTTGAGACCCTTGTTGCTATGCGAATGTGTTCCCAGATGTACGTTCATGTACTTTACTGAGTAGGATGCAGAAGCAGAGAGAGGAGGATCAAGTGATTCGATTCCTGGAAGGATTAAATGAGAAATATGAGGCTATCAAGTCTGGAGTCCTTGTCATGGACCCTATTCTAGATCTTGAAAAGGTACTCAATATGACATTGAAGGTTGAGAGGAAAATCAAGGGGTCTCTTAGTCAAATAAACACTGAATTTGCTCAGTCCAATGCCATACGGAATCAGGTAGAGGAAGAACAATCTGTAGTGGCAGTATCAGCAGCAAACAACAAAAAGAAATTTACCAACAGTGGGGGAAGGAATGTTCCTAAATGTATTTTTTGTGGCATGAATGGTCACACCATTGATAAATGTTATAAGAAACATAGATATCCTCCAGGGTGGATTCCAGGTTATAAAGCTAAAGCCAAGCAAGCCACAGACACACACCAGCCATTTAGTGCTTCTGTGAGTCAAGTAGGAGATACAGGTTTGTCAGCTGACCAGTTTCAAAAGTTGTTATCTCTTTCGCAGAATCAAGCTAAAGGAAATTTGGGATCAAAGTAATGCAGCTATGACTGTTAATACTGCTGGAGTTAAGCCAGTTTTTAAGGAGGCTGGGGAAGCTAGCGATGAAGGTAGTCCTATTTCTAATTTCCATATAAATGCTGCTCTTAATTCACATGATATATGGATATTAGATTCAGGAGCCACAGACCACATAACATATTCTTTAGGTTATTTTGAGGAATACCATAGTACTCATGACATCTCAGTGAGGTTACTTAATGGACAAGTAGTGGAAGTGAGCCGTGTTGGGCAAATCAGACTTAATGACAACATAATGCTTTCAAATGTGTTGTTTAATTATCCCAGCTTTTACCTTTAACATTGTGTCTGCTAGCAAATTGACCAAACAGTCAGGTTATAAGATTGTTATGGAAGCTGAATCTTGTTCAATTTAGGGATCTCCTGGGACCATGGGTGGTTTTGCTAGACAGGAGAATGGTTTATACTTGATCAATCACCCACCAAGCAAGAGAAAAAGAAAGTCCAATGGTTTATTTTCTGAAATTCAGTGTAATAGTGTGACAGTTGAGATGTGGCATTGTAGATTGCGACATTACCCTATCAATAAGATACACTTGCTAAATGGAATAAAATCTGTCTCTTTTCATAAGCAGCTTGACTTTGTGTGTGATGCTTGTCACCTTGCTAGACAAAAGAGATCCCCCTTTCCTGTTAGTATTTCTAGAGTAGAAAAATGATTTGATTTGTTGCACATGGATGTTTGGGGTCCTTTTGCTATGGCCACCTTAAAAGGGGAACACTATTTTCTCACCATTGTGGATGATTACAGCAAATTCACTTGGATATACATGCTGAAACACAAATCAGAAGTTAATACTGTATTTCAGTGATTTTATGATTATGTTTCCACTCAATTTTCTGCCAAGATTAAAGGGGTGAGAACTGACAATGGCACTGAGTTTATGATGGACACCTTCTTTAGAGAAAAAGGAATTTTTCATCAAAGGTCTTGTGTTTACACACCTCAACAAAATGGGGTGGTTGAAAGGAAACATCAAAACATCCTAAGTGTGGCCAGGGCCCTAAGATTCCAGTCTGGAATTCCCATACAGTTTTGGGGACATTGTGTGATACATACATCCTATCTTATCAATAGATTACCAACTGAGGTTCTTAATGGTAAAACCCCTTATGAGATGTTGACTGGGAAAACTGCATATTACAGTCAACTCAGGACCTTGGGTTGCCTATGTTTTGGTGGAACAATCTCACATGGGAGAAATAAGATGCAGCCTAGGGCAAGGAAGTGCATTTTTTTGGGATTCCCAGCTAATGTAAAAGGATACATTTTATATGACATTGTTGATAAAGGTGTTTTTGTTTCAAGAGATGTCAAGTTTTATGAGCTTATATATCCTTTTAAAGAACAAAGTGCAGATTACAATGATAATTTTCATGCAGTAGAGGGGCTCAACCCTTCTTTACCTTGGTTTTCATTGACATTGAAGCAGAACCTACTGTTTTGTAACCTTTTGATATCCCAGCTGATGATGGAATCATGACAGATAGTCCTGCAAACAGACATTCAGAAATTAGAGATCATCTGTCTTATGGCAGTATTATTCCACATGACAATGACATTGACCAGTCCTCACAATATGTTCCTGTTGAGGTTTCCAATGAGGATGTTTCTAACAATTTGTCACCAGAAAATGAGGTTGAACAGCCACAACCTAGGAGATCTGGAAGACAAAGGACAGTTCCTGCCAAGCTCAATGATTATTACTGTCAGACTGTTTTGGGAAATAAATCAGGTCTGAGAACCTCTCCTCACTCCATACATAAATTTATTTCCTATGATAATCTGCATCCTAGTCATAAGGTCTGTGTTGCCTCCATAACCTCCACACATGAACCACAGTCCTACAATGAGGCAGTGAAACATGAGACTTGGAGGAAGGCTATGCAAGATGAAATAAAGGCCTTAGTTGAAAATAAGACATGGACATTGGTGGATCTGCCTCAAGGGAAGTCACCCATTGGATGTAGATGGGTATACAAGGTCAAACACAAAGCTGATGGATCTATTGAGAGATATAAATCTATATTAGTAGCTAAAGGGTATACTCAACAATTGGGGGTGGACTATATGGAAACTTTTTCCCCAGTTGCTAGAATGACTACTATCAAAACCTTTTTAGCTTTGGCAGTGGCAAGAGGCTGGGATATTCAACAACTTGACATCAACAATGCTTTTTTACATGGGGATCTTGATGAGGAAGTATATATGGTGTTACCTCAAGGTTTTGAATGCTCCAAGTCCAATCAGGTTTGCAAGTTACTTAGATCTTTACATGGCCTAAGGCAAGCTAGTAGGCAATGGAATACCAAATTAACAAAGGCCTTACAAAATGATGGTTTCCAACAGTCCACTGCTGACCCCTCATTATTCACCAAGATTACAAAAGGTTCATTCATTGCCCTTCTTATTTATGTGGATGACATCCTTGTAGCAGGCAATGACTTCTTTCAGATTCAAGAATTGAAACAGATGCTTGACACTTCCTTTAAGATCAAGGACCTAGGCCAGCTGAATTTCTTCCTTAGCATTGAGGCTTACAGAACACCTGAAGGTCTCAACCTATGCCAAAGAAAGTATGTTTTAGAAATCCTACAAGAGAATGGTTTTCTTGATGCAAAACCAGCTGCAACTCCTTGTGTCACAGGATCAAAACTCACCACAACTGATGGTATATTGCTTAGCAATATTGAAGTTTATAGAAGATTGGTTGGTAAGCTTTTATACTTAACAAACACAAGACCTGACATTACTTACTCAGTTCAACAGCTGAGCCAGTTTGTGGACAAACCAAGGGATTCTCATTTAGTTGCAGCTCACAGAATCCTGAGATACCTTAAGGCTTCTCCTGGAAAAGGCTTATTCTATGCTGCTGATTCTCCAATTAATTTGACAGGATTCCCTGACTCAGACTGGGCTACTTGCAGTGAGACAAGAAAGTCTGTGACAGGTTTTTGTGTATATCTTGGGAAATCCCTGATCTCTTGGAAGACTAAGAAACAAGCAACTGTTTCAAGATCATCTTCAGAGACTGAGTACAGGGCTTTGGCCTCTACTATCTGTGAGATTCAGTGGCTTTTGTATCTAATGGCATATCTGAAGGTGGTCATCAACAGCCCTATACCTCTCTTTTGTAACAGCAAGCCTGACATTGCTATAGGAGAAAACTTTGTGTTTCATGAACGTACGAAACACATAGAGATTGATTGCCATGTTGTGAGGCAAAAGGTTCTTAATGGGGTTGTCAAACTACTTAGCATTGCTTCACACAACCAAATAGCAAATGGCTTCACCAAAGCTTTGCCCAAACCTTTGTTTGACATGTTTCATATTAAGCTGGGACTTCAGAACCTTCATTTTCCAGCTTATTGGGGGGAGGGGGGGGGGGGGGGGGGGGAGGGTGATGGAACACAATCCAGCTAAAGGAGCATAAACTAGCTTAGCCTTCAAGGTTATTTCTGTCGTTTCCCCTTGTGGTAGTTATAACCGTTTCTTTCCCATTGTAATAAGCAGTATATAAGCTCCCCCCTTATGATTGAAAACACTGTTACATTCATTTTCATCTTTGATCCTTCTTCCATCCACAGCTCACTTAGTTCGCATCAATGTTATTTTTGTTTCTCTCCATTGTTCAAACCCTAGTGTAGCTCTGGCTAGCTCATCATATACAATAGACGAATTGTGTTTGGACTTAAAAAAATAAAAATAAAAATAAAAAAATAATTAAATAATAAAAAAAAAAACCTGGCTGAACCCAAAGAAACAAGCTCAGTTCCAGCATACATTCTCCTTTGCCAACAAACACCCAAACAACCCATATGATAAAATTGACACAGAACCTAGTGGAGGGCCACAAATCACAATGTCCACGGGCTAGTTGGACAAAAAGCTTTGAGAAGTCCGCACGGGCTTAAATCAATGGTTTAGTAGACCAATCGTTATGATGTGAGCATGTGCCCATCTTGCATGGTGCGACAAATCTATATCCATAATTTTTATACTGTAGCTCCATTATTTTTAGACTCTCGATGAGCTAAAATTTATACTTTAGATCCATAATTTACATACAGTAGATCCATAATTTCTATACTGCACTGATTTGTGAAAACATGGTTCAACAATTGGAATCTAAAGTATAAATTTTAGCTCACCAAGATTCTAGAAATTATGGATCTACAATATAGAAATTATGGATCTACACTATAGAAAATATTGATATAGATTCGTGCGCACCATGTGCATGGTGGGCACGTGCTCAATGCATAATTTGTCTCAGCAGACAGTGTTTGGACGAAGAGACCAAGGTTGGAATCTTGGCAGCGGCGACGGTGTGGGGATTATGCCCAAAGTGGACATATCCCTTGCGTGCACCGACATTTTGCCATGTCTGCTAAGCCATTGAGTCACCCTGATTTACATACCCCAAATGCTTTGTCGGGCAGGGTGTGGAGGTCACTTAGGCTTAAGGATTTAACCTTTTGAAAGAAGAAAAAGCTTTGACAAAAAAATAACAGTTTTATCGTGTTTACGATAGTCATGCACAATTTATAGACATCTCATTATTATTCTATGAGATAACTATAGACGCCCACATGAATAGCTCAACTGGTCATAAAGATGAAACTTTGAAAGAATGAGATAACTATAGACAAATTATTTATGGCAAGAGTTAGTAGTACAAACATTTCATATTTAGTTCCATTATTATAAAACATTATATTATATGTGTTTTCATTTAATAAAATGAATAATGGTTAAATTAATCATTTGAAATTACACATGAAAATATAATTAGGTCATCCAGTTTTTTAAAAAATATAATAAACTCCTTGAACAAATCAAATTGATGCAATTAGACAAGAATGACTAGTATTTCATAATGTGATGACGTGACATTTAATTTTTTTTTAATTTTAACAATTTTACATTTATTAAACAAAAAAAAAAGAAAAAAAAAAAAAAAAAAGAAGAAAACCCCACACCCTCATTTATCTCTAGGCTAGCCAAGAGATAAATAACTTTTCTTCGTCACCTGGGCAAAAATGATTGAGGAGGGTGGGTGGGTTTAACCACCACATCATCATCATCATCATTATTATTATTATTATTATTATTATTATTATTATTATTTACACATTTGGTTTATAGCATAAACTCTCCCAAGAGGGCAAGATGAGATAAAACATGAGTCCGTATAATAACTTTTTAATTTTTAATTTTTTACCACTATCGCTGAAGCAAGACTTCTAAGATAACGATTGAACTATTAAACTAAGTTCCGCAAGGCATCATCACATTATTTGAAGTACTAGTCAGTGTTGGTCTAATTACACGGATTTGGTTTATAAAGAAATTAATAACAATAATTATACTTTTGTGTATAGTTCATTAGTTGGTAACTAATTTGATCATTATTTTTAATTTGAATAAAATAAATGTTCATTATTTATAAGTGATAATAATGACACTTCGAGATCTAAATGTTCAAGAACGATATCTTTAAAGTTCATCAATGAAAATTATCTGATCCACTTTTCCTATTAACATATTTTATACGGAGTATTTTGAGACATGTCACACAGTATTAATAAAATAATAAATAAATAAATAAATAAGCATAGCCCACAGTACACACAAAAATAGTTAAAACAAATTAAAAAACGACACGTTAACCTCTTATCCCCTAAAAAAGGGGCAAATTATTGTATGGAACATGGTCCACACAATGTTATATGAATCATAACAAAATATACATTTTTAATATACTAAATGTATATTATTTTTGTACTGAATGTACATTATATAATATAATGTACACTCAGAACAAAAAAAATAATGTACATCCCTTGAATACAATATACATTATTTTTATACTAAATGTACATTATTTTACAATTGATAAATATGGTCCACATAATAATGATTGTAAAAAATAAAATAAAGTGAAAAAATAACATGGAGCACTCGATTGCAATTTCGATAAATATAAAAAGAAGATTCCAATAAATATTTATACTATTGACCCTCAACTATTATTGAATTATAAATTTAGTTCATTTTTCTATTTGTATAAATTTGATAATTTAATTGTTAAACAAATTATAAATTCAATTTATCAATTATATTAGACGTCTTATAAATATGTCAACATACAACCTTAAAAACAAACTGAAGTTGACGTCTCAATTAGCTAAATGATTGAATTTATAATTTGTTGTGAAAATTATAATTTTAGTGAATGTTGAAAAAATTGTTAGGCGCCTGGAACCGCCTAGGAGGCAGACCGCCTAGCGCTTAGGCGCTGATTAATCGGCGTCTAGGCGTGATTTTTGAACACTGTTTTTAGTCATCCAGTTATACTAGTGGATCACGAGTCGTGGTCCATACTTAGGGTATGTTTGGTTCATGGGTTTACAACCTAGAAATGATAATCAAAATCATAGTTAGTGTTTAGTTGACAATTTTTAGAAACACAACTATGAG